AAGGTATAAACCAAAAGGTAAAGAATCTACAAAATCTGATTCTCTACAAAGTCCACCCATTCTTCTATACAGCAAGGAACTTTATGGGTGCACCAAAAGAAAATAAATGACCAGAGGCTATTCCTCACCTGAGAAAAACTTGATTGTACCCCCTCAAAAGCTCTCTTATTTCTCTCTTTCCAAATAACCCACATCAATGCAAGAGGGACCAAGTTCAGTGCCCGATGTCTTCTCCTTCTTTTCCCACATCCCAAACAAAACAACAAATCTTTCATAGTTAATCACATTATCCAAGAAACTCCGAACCACCGAAGCATGTCCCACCATAATCTCATGGTAAAGACAATGAATGAGAAGATGATCCACTAACACTAGCTGGCACAAACAACCTTCCGTTTTCTAATATTATCTAGTTGCTAGCCAAGAGAAAAAGCACCTCTTCCGCAACACCTGCGCTAACCAAATTGCATCACAAACACACCCTCATTCCTAATTAAAAGGTTCTCATAAAATTATTTAACAGATAAAGCTCCATTATTTCCCAAACCCCACGACAGAGCATTAGGTTTATCCATTTGAATGACTTGCTTGTGAAGGAGCGCAATCAACCTTTGTAGTTTGGTTACCTCCCAATCGTGGAAATGCCATCTAAATCTCAAATTCCAAAGAATCTCTCCACCATGTGTCTCCCTAATTTGTTGGACTATCAAATCTCCTTGACGTGACATTTTATACAAAGTCTGAAAATAATTTTTCAGTATGCTATCCCTACACAACCTATGTCCCCCAAAATTAACTGTCCTACAATTTCCAACCTTAAATGAGATATTTACATTGAAATTATCCCATCCCTTCATTATATTCCTCCACAAACCACACCCAAAAGGCATAGTTACATCTCTAGTTCACCATATCCCTTCCATTACCCCATATTTATCAACTACCACCCCTCTCCAAAAGGCGTTTACCTCCATCCTGAAATGAAAAATCTATTTGCCTAATAAAACTTTGTTAAAAAGCATCAAATCTTTAATTCTGAAACCTCCCCATTTTTAGGAGATGAGCCAGTCTTCCACTGCACCAAATGAAATTTCTTCGCTTCATCCACCCCATCCCAAAGACAATTTCTTTGAAACCTCAGCAATTTTCTTGTGACCGAAGTTAAAGCATAAAATAAAGACATGAAGGAAGTGGGAATACTCGATAAAGTGCTCTTGATAAGCACCTCTTTCCCTTCTTTGGTCAAGTATCTTTTTTGCCACCCTGTTAATCTCTATTCTCTTCTCAACCCTTAGAAGAACCATTCCATACCTAAACATCCTTGCTCGAAGCCCCTAGCGAAAGTTCAAGATAGATTAGTAGGAAGATCCCACCTTGCAGTTTAAAACTTGAGCGAGCACCCCAATGTCAACCACTTGCCCGACTGGAAATATCTCACACTTGGGTTAATTTTGAGGCTTGTACCAAGTAAGCACTTAGCCTAAATGATAAATTGGTTCATATCTCCATCACAACAAACTAAAGTATCATCGGCAAACAATAAGTGGGAAGTTGAAATAGCCCAAACACCCAATCGTTGCATTAACCCTTTAAATAACCTTGCATGACAACTTTATCCATCATTGTTTGAGATCACTCCTAATTCTCATTTATAAGCGTTAGTGGACTGGCTTTCCTTGGCGATTGGATCCATGAGTTCAATCAAATCGAATGTGGTATCGTATTTAATAGAAGTTGTTACTAGGAACTATTATGAGTCTCAATATCCAATCAATTAATCCCACAAACCAAGGAAGCTTAAGCGGAAATGAAAGAGGGTGAGGGAATCTATTAGGATAACGCATATAGGGAACTGAACCCACATCTTATTGAGTTGCTCCCACAAGCACCCTTTTCGAAAGCTCAATGTGTAGGACTAAGGAGAACACTCGCATGCGTGAAGCTCTCATTTATATGCCTTAGTAGTCTCAATATCAGAAACACCATAATTAATGTCTTTTTCATCTTCGTCCTCAATTTCAGTGACTAGAAACTTCTATCTTCTCCACACTGTCATTTTTTTTGTTCTCGAACTTTCCATCACAAGCATCACCATTGGGTGATATCTTGGAAACTAAAAGATGAAGATTTGTTGAACTTTCTGTCACAAGCTTCACCATCTTACAACTTTAAAAGGATTCCTGTCTAGCTTTGTTGTACTTTGTCTCTGTACCAGCTTGGTATTGAATTTATATTTATACCTTTACTCATAAAAAAATGAAAACTTATTCTCCCACTTCTCCCATTACAACACATAATGGCTCGGAAAGAACTCATAGCACAAGATTGGATACATAAAGAGACTGACCACCAAGCAGGAATCACCACAGAGGAAATCACCTCTCAGTCAATAGCAGCTTTTAGTACTTCTAAAGACACTGGTCAGAGAACGACGACATGGGATAATCATAGGACTGATGATTGAATTAGCAATATCCAAAGAATTACAAATTTGTCCTCCAATCGGTCCCCGAAAGGTAGATAGTTAACTTAAGATTACAACTATTAGCAATATCAAATGGGACTAATGAGTCAAAATAGGGATGGCAATGGGACGGTGCTGGGAGGGGGCGGGGCGGGTTGAGCTTAACCCGCAAAATTTTTAATCCACCCCGCCCCGCATAACATTTTTTTTCATTCTCAACCCACCCCGCCCCGCATAGACCCGCTCCACATGAACCCTCCCCGCATAATTTTTTTTAATATTTTCTTTTGCTAGTTAAGTTTGATACTAAAATTAAAATTCATAAAATAAATTCATCTTTTCATTAAGTTGTATTAATTTAATAGGATAGTGACTTAAAACTTTATTTTTTAGAGGTCAATTAGGAAACATGTAAGAAATTGAATTATTTTTTATTGAACCATTTTCATTTACTATCTTGAATATTTTAGTAGCTTTAAAGAAATTATCTTAATAAATAATGTTCTATCACTCTTATAACATGTAAAAAATTAAAATTAAGTTTAAACCCACATAAAATCACATATACCCGCAATCTGCTCCGCCCCGCATTAGTTTTAAAAAAATCAACCAGCCCCACATCCTACCCGCCCCACACAACCTTAAACCCACCCCACCCACATAGCCTTAAACCCGCTCCACTCCGCATCCTCCCCGCCCCATTGCCATCCCTAAGTCAAAAGACCCATTATAGACAAGAAACGGAGATAAACTTCCATTTCGTCTATTGTAGCTTAAGCACAGAAAAGATCAACATACCATCAGCATTGTTCTTAGGGCTTTTGTGGAGCTCGTTTTCATGTGATGGGTCAGACTCTTCGACTTTGCAGGTGCAACAGAACCACCTTCTCATCCTTACTCTCTTACTCAAATAAAGATCGTCTTTAGCCATTGCGTTCTCCAAGCGTACAAAATAACCAGGAGGTGCATGTGTCTGTGAAGTAAGTCAAACATAAGAGTAGATCATTACTAATGCAATTTAATCATAGCATGCATGCCTTAACACATAATTCAATTGATTCCAAGATATTTCCACAGGGAAACTGCATACCATCTCTTTAAATTACTTTGAAACTCTTCATACCAAAACCAAAACCTGTTATAATCAACGATGAAATTGAATGCTAACTCGATATCATCAAAGATGAAGTTGAATGATCTTCACTTCAAGGTTATATATGCAGCATTCTTGCTCTAAGACATCTAAAAAACTGAAGTTAATAATATACATTTATGCCAATAACAAATGGAACCATAAAACATATTTTCTCAGCCAAAGAAGGCGCAGAAACATATGTTAATGATTTCAAATAATATTTCCTACTACAGAAGCAACTAAAATGGCCACATGAAACAAGGAGAGAAAGAGTGACAGAAACTGATAGCAAGTGCACTAAATATAGAATCCACAAAAAGAAAATTGCTTAAATATGATACCCTCCCTCCCTATACAAACAAAATCAGAAAATCATCATTTTGCTACAAGGTCTTTTTTACTTGACAAAGCTTCAAGCTGAACGCATCCATTAAAATAAAAAAAGTCGCTGAAAATCTTACCCCTAATCCTTGCTTATGAAAATTGTCATCCATAGCCATCCCAATAATATAAACAAAAATAAGCAACTTTTAACCAAAATTTTGCGAACCCCAGATCCAAAATCAATTCAAAATATTATATTATAGTAGCCAAGCAACCGAAATTCATAAAATATAATATTGAATTTACCTGATCCTTTTTTTTCGACAAGAGGGGTTTGTGGCTTTTGATTTACTCTTCTATGTTTGTTGGTCGAATAAACAGGTAAGCACTAAAAGCAGTGAGGGAGTAAAGAATTGGGTTGGTGAAAATAAAAAAGAAACGCCTACAAGTGCATTCATATGTTGGCAAATTTCATTTATAACCAAAATACTTTTTTATATTACAAATAAAATGGTACATATATTATTCCACTTTCTTTGTCTGTGTGCTATAAAATAAAATTTAAACAGTATTTGTAACTCTATGGTTAGAAAATCTTGCACTTACCCTAATTTACTTGCATATTCAAGATTCGAAAGAGGTCCGCATAGGCATAGCCCATATAGAATAGAAAATAAAAAAGAATGCTTTTCTTCTTCGTCAAACTAAATCATGAATCTAATACAAATAGATGGAAAAGAATAATTTCTTGAGCTCTATATTCAAGAGCATTGTTCATCCAGTTAAACAAAAACATGATTCTAATACTACTAGAACTACAACAATAATATAAAAGGCATTATTATTACTTCTAAAAAGGTGACTCAATATTTGAATATTGAAATCGTCTAATTTTTTATTATGGGAGCTTCATAATTCATAACCAACTCCCTTCAAATTCAAACAGCATTGAGTTGTTATACATTGACTAATTGTATATGAACTAAACTAAATGCCCCCAACTAAGATGTTTCTTTGAGTATAAATTATCATGGGAAGACCATGACCGAAGAAATCTGGAAAGTGATATAAAAATAAATATATAAATAAAATTGGAGAGTACATTTTGTTCAAGTCCCCAACAAAATTGTCATTGTTCGGACTGTCCAAAATATCTGCCACATATTGTGACCAACATATTAAGCATAATAACTTCATCATCGATTTTGGACTTGTCAGCTCTCAAGTTTGCACATTTTCGGAGTAATGACCGTAGGGCTGCACATGTATCGGCATCCACAGGAGTATCAACTGCAGCGCACAGAGCAAACAGCCATAAGCAGTCATCCATTGTAAGAGCCCTCAAGCTTTGCACAGCGGTAATTTGCTTCCTTAACATTGAAACTCGAGCTACAGCATCCATTCCTAAGATAACAGATAAGGTAGGACTATTGGCAGGAGATGACTTTGGTATGGAATTCTCTAGGGCAGGATCATCACCAGCATCAGATAGGGAAGACTCCTCTTCTCCAGACATCAAACCATCAAACTTATCCAAAACAATGTTTTCAGGAAGCTGATCAGAAGAGAGTGGTTGATCAACAAAGGTTGAAGAATGCAGCTGGCTACAAGTTCCAATATTAGCTTCCAAACGTGACAAAGCCTGAAACAAAACACAAATTCCTTCAAAAAAAAAACATAGGTGAAGTGTGTCAGGAGCACTACCTACTCCAAAACTTCTCATATTCGGGTCATGAGTAACCAATAATGACACCAACCCACATCCATCATGCAACTTTAAGTTCTGATCATATTTTCAGGGAAAAGGAGCAGAGCTTGTAACAGGTACTTTGATGACTCGAGCTATTGCATTTCCAATTCTAAAAGTACTTCAACACAAACAAGCAGAACATACCAGTCTTAGCCCTGAAAAATCAGCAAGGAATGCTTCCTCCCACTTCTTGAGAGGCAACAAGTGCTCTAGACAGCTTGCAATATCAGGAATTTGGGGCATGTAAGATGTCTGTTCTTTGTTTAGTTTACTTCCTTGAACTGCTGCAACCTTCACTTTGGGCAACCGTAATGCTTCCCATCTAGGACAAATTCAGCATCCATATCATTTCAGCGCAAATTTAATGTCATGGCTAGTTGAACGGGTTATAGAAAATGAAGAAATTTTGAAATACAATGTCTAGCTAACTCGTAAAAACATCCACCAGTTCCAGGTCTTGTTTAAAAATTTAGCTAAGAAATGCTATCATTTGTTCTAACTAGAATTAGAGTTTCATTATGCATGAGCATAAGTGTACAATACATCAGGTATTTACTGGTGACCAAGAAACTAAGACTGAAAAAAATTGGAGGGTGACAAGTACTATGCCTTTTGCAGGACATGAGAGATGTGTAGCCTAGTCTCCTACTGTGGCAGAGAAAAGCAAGCATGGCTAATTTGGCAGCAGAGCTGAAATCTCTGAAGAAGAGTACCAAACTGGCCATGGGCACGTTTATAAATGTCTTTTTTTAGGTTGAGCTAGCAAGATGAGCAGTTACAGGGAGTGTTTATGTCTATTTTGCTTGTTCGGTTAGAAAATGGAAGGCATGGAATTTAAAGTGTAGGGTTTATTGACTTCCACATCAGCTTCTTCAACCCCTAGAAATTGGACATATGAAAATCTAAAAAATCCTTTACTTCCCTTTTTATTCAGAAACAAAAAATCCTTTAGATCTCTTGCAACCATAATAAATAATTGGAAGTTAATGAGAATATTCACCTAAGAGAATAAACACAGTAACTCCCCCTTTCCCTTGCTCCTAACTGAAGCAAACTGATGTGAGGCCAAAAATACATATATTTAGCCACTATTTACCTCATATTTTAGTACTTGTGATTGTCTTTGAATATTGATTATACTATTTGTGCTTAATATTATATTTTTAATGTGTAGGAATAAAGCAATGTGAAGACTTGAAGATAAAGAGAATTGAATCAGAATGTGAATAAAAAGCGAGAATCGAGAAAAAGGATAAAAGGCTCACGTACAGATGGAGAAATCCAAATGATATCATATGATTGTCTAATCATTACACATTCAAAAGCCAAAAGAAAATAAAAGCAAAAGATGGCAAAGGGATGGGTAAAATATTAGTTCACTGGACAATTGCCCAGGAGCGGAGTGTCGTGCGTAGCGGGCCGCATCGTGCCAGGCAAGCCAAAATCTGACTTTCCCAAATTTTTTTGGACTCGGTTTTTTTGTCTGAGATTTTTTCCGATACTATAAATGGTCCTTAAGCGGTTTTTACATAATTTTTTACCTAAGAAGAGCTAGGAGCCGCCGTGGAGGCCAAAGAATTTTAGTTTTATCTTTTCTTCTCCATAATTATTTATTTTAACGTCTTTCGGATGATTTGTTGTAATCCATCCATGTCTATGTGGAGCTAAACTTCTCATTCTAGGATTATGGTAGTTGCATGATTGTTATTGTATGAACTTGGATTGACTTGTTAAGATAGTTATCGTCGTGCTCCAACTCGTGTGGTTACTTACTTCTTGAGCTTAATTATTTGATTGTTTGATCACACCTTTCAAATACTATTTGTATCTTCTGACTCATTATTTGGACTAGGAAGGGGAAATTTGCGAGCGTAATAAGAGGAAGTAGAGCTTGTTCGTGAACCTCCTAGGGAAGGAGAACCATTGATTCCGTTAATGTGTATATGATACCCCTTAGTCTTGCACAGTTGATATAGAAGAAATATACATGCACTTCACTATTAGCTGACGACCATAACCATATAGGCATTAGGGATAGTTGAGTAGTCTTAGAGTTATCGGCAAGATACTCAATAAGTACTATCAACCTGCAACAAGTAACTCGATTAAAAAGAAGAGACATTTTGAGTAATCAGTTCAAGCGATTACTCAACATGATACTAGTGAATCCGTAGCCCTATATCGATATCATCTCATTAATTATGTAAAAATCTGGTCTTCATTTGGTTAATTGTTCATTAGTTATTTTCTTTTTATTTCCTGTTTAGCTAATTCAAAATAATAACCAGGATTTTATCACTTGAATAAATAATAAGCATTAAGTTAATTTAGTAAATAGCTAAATCACAAGTCCATGCGGGTACGGTATCTGGACTCAAAATCATATATTACTTGTATGACTATGTATGCGTTCGGACACAATACAAACATAACATTAAGGTGGAGTTCATAAGAAGGCCATTGACCACATGAAAAAATGGGGATATGAAAATGGAACAGAAAGTTAGTGAGAGAATATCCACTTCCCTCAAGAATTCTGAGAGGCCCATTTTCTTTATTTTTAAAATTCGGTAGAAAGTTAGTGAAAGTTTAGGTAGGACAGTTTTCTCAGATTACTGTTTCTTTGTTTTTCTCCAATCATTTACTCAAGATAATCGGTTACAAATGAGTTATCAATGATGGAAAGAAGAATTTATTCCATACCCTGCAACAAGTCTTGTGACAGAACATTTATGACAGTGAAGCATGGTATAATTGGGTTGAAAGAGCGAAAAACTCCACTTGTCGTATGCTGTTAGTAGGAGAGTGTTGTGGTTATGCCAGTTATTTCATGAAGCTTCAGTGGGATGTGACCAGTATTATTGTTCCCAAAATTACAACTACTGTGGCAAATACATAAGCATAGTTGCAGATTACAGCAGCAGAGAAAAAGTGTAATCATTCTACCAGATGTTTGTACATAGTTCAGGGTGGTAAGTTGGTTACCCAAGGATAAGGAAAACCTTCCTTTTTTTTACTTGCTTCACTTTTGTCATCCGTATCAATAAAAGTTCTCTTCTTCTTTTCTCTTTTACGATCGACAAGTTGCTACAGAGGCTTCAAGTGATGATGCCATGTGGTATTAGCAAATCTCAAAAAGATATAATTTAAAATAGGAAGAAATATTTCCTTGTTGTATAGAAGACCAGGTGTTGTTTGTAAAGATTCATGCCTTTTTGTAGGTTCTCTAATTTTTTTGGTATACCACTTGCGTTTGGGATTCATGTCAATAATGAAAATATATTGACTTGATAAAAAAAAGAATAAGGCACCTTATATTCTCAGTGATCCCATCTAGGGAGGGGGTCATTGATTTCAGAAAAGTATGGGTTTACTTCCAAAAATAATTCCAACTGGGGAGTAAGGCACCTTATATTCTCAGTGGATATATCCCCCCCTTGAGTTAAGAGTATCTAACTAGTAAGCAATTAAGATGGATAGAAAATGGTCAATTCAAACTGTTGGTGCGACCAGAGAGCCTAGTCATGTAGGAAGCTCACTAGTCACCGGAAGAAGACGCGTTCAAAATTGAAATCATTTTTTTGGTTTTCCTATGGGCTTGTTCTATAAAACTGAAATGACTTCATCCTCTTTTAAGTCATATCAGGGTTGCACATTAACCAGAAATGCTTATTGTATCCAGTAAATGAACTGATCAATCTCCAAGATCAGGTGAATATTCTTGGTGGCAAAAGAGGAGAGTTATCAACTATTTATTTGGGTATATGCCTCTTGGGGCAAAAAGCAGAACCAAAGATATCTGGAATGGAGTGGTGGAAAATGAAAAGAAGTTGGCAAATTGGAGAAGCCAATCTTTATCTTTAGGTGGGAGGGTCACTCTGGTAATATTGTTCTAGATGCTCTACCTAGTACCTACTTACATGATGTCCCTTTTTCCTATTCCTGTGAATTTAGTCGACAGACTATGCTTTATCTGGCAAGGTCGACCCGAGTCTGAGCAACTTCGGTCAATTTAAGCTAAATAGTAGATCATAACCACACCCACCCAACTCAAATCATTTTTCATTAATTCATCTCTTTTTATAACTTGTTACATTACCAAAGCAAACTAATAAATGTCGTCTCATCTATTTACTATGACTATCAAATTGATCAAACCAAAAATAACTTATATTTTTATTTTATTAGAGCTAAGAGATAGGGCTATTAGTTAACAAAAGTAGAAGCCATATATGGCCTAACTAACCCTAACTAGTTTGTGCCAAAAACTAATGACACAGGAGGAAGAAAGAAATGGTTAAAAAGTCAGACGGAGAGAGACAAGGAGTAAGGATTTAAACCAGGTGAAGCATATTATGGCAATGCTCAACTAATGTTGACAGGAGATAATGAGATCAAAGAGAAATTGATAGGCTATTTTTATCAATCTCCATACATCTCTGCCTTTAGCTACACTAGTAGAATCAGGCTGTCAAATATAAAGGATGCCATTAAAAGAACATGAACATTAGAAGAGCATGTAGTCTAAACGGCATTCCTATTGTTAAATTAGGTCTTAGCTAGGCCTAACTCACACCCCAAAAGCTAGCTCAAAGGGAGGAGGATTGCCCAAGCCTTATAGGGAGTTCACCCATCTCATTAATCACCACTGTAGGACTTTTGGCTTTAACACCCCACCTCACGCCCAGTGCTTAACATCTGGTGCGTGGGCAATTTTGGGCAATTTTTTGACCCACCTCACACCCAGTGCTTAGCATCTGGTGCGTGGGCATTTTTTGATTTTTTTGGTCCCCAACATTGGGTGAGATGGGTCTGCTCTGATACCATGTTAAATTAGGTCTAAGCTAGGCCTAACTCACACCCCAAAAGCTAGCTCAAAGGGAGGAGGATTGTCCAAGCCTTATAAGGAGTTCACCCATCTCATTAACCATCAATATGGGACTTTTGGCTTTAACACCTATAAAGGTTTGGAAGTGCTTTGGAGATGTTGGAGTAGGATGGCTTACCAAGTTATTTAATGTTATACCAAGATACCCTTACATTTTTTATGAGAAGGTAGAGGCTTGAGCATCTACCTCCCAAGGTAAGAAAGTAGGGTCTATTTACACTCTATCTTCTCCGGACCCTACTTGTGGGATTACACAAGGTATATTGTTGTGTTGTTATAAGAGGCTTCAGACACAACTTATCATCCTAGATGGGCTATAAAGCCTTCATTTTTGTTTTTGCAACATTCATAATATTATTCGACCATAGGCTAAGAGCAACCCTTTTAGACACAGATAGGAAAATGGTACCTGACACGCCTAAGATACTCAAGCCCATCTTCAGGAGGACCAGAATCAAAATCAGGCTTTCCTGTAACTCTAAAGGCGGGTCTTTGAATGCTACTATAATCATCATCGCTATCATCACTTTCTTCATAAACATTGTTTTCACCCTCATAAGAGATGCCATCATCCCTACTGGGAGGAAATGCCGAAAGAGAATTTTTAGTGTCTATATACCCTTCTTGATCATCCAAGTGCTCTGAATGGTTGTTACCTGAAAGGCATAAATGATTACTCACATACACTCAACTACTTCTAGAACAGATGTTTGAGAAAATCCACAAAATTAACTAATATATCATTCTCAAGGAAATTTCAAGTTGAGAAATGCAAATGAAATGAAATTCACCAATTCAGTCACTTTACAATGCAAGTAGACCATACATTTACATCAGCAGTCTATTTTCCAGTGTTCTACATTCTACTTACATGAACGATACACGTAAACACATCATCACTCTATCTAGCCACTGTATCAGTGATCCATTTACAAGAGCTAGGTATCTACAATCAGATTCATCACTGTGGTAAGATATGAGCAAATAAGAAATCAATGCTCATCCCAAAACTTTTCTGTACAGCAGAGGTATTGGGCAATGGTTAGAAATGCTTTTCCTTCAACCCTTTATCTCGAACTGGGGACAATACTAAAGACCTAATGGCCAGGTAAACATAAAGTGTTCTGCAGATTCATATATGTCATGCCTCTTTGTGTATAAACTTTCAAATGTTTTCCTCGTTCTTTTGCTGCCAAAACACCTGTGCCAACAGAAATTTAGGAACCCATCAAATTGAAACAACCACAACAGAATGTGTAGGGAAGCAAACAATCGTGAAGGCAAGAAATAGAGTAAATATTTTGATACGAAAGGTGTAGGTGGTGTAGCATATCATGATGTCAAGAGTATATAATCCACAATATCATCAAAGTTACATCTAAACTTGCATTTGCCTGAAAATGGGGTAAGTTAATGATAGGGATCCGTGGTTGGAACACAATTCTCCACTGCACTAGCTGTGTCCTTTTTTTCCTTTTTGGTGAATAAACTGCTCTTTGAATCCTCTTTTACCCAAAGTTTAAACAGAAATTAATGTAAAGAGAGGCACTTGAGATTTTACATTTTATTCTTTGGCATTCTTAAATATATCCAGTAATAGCACCAGCGAGGAATGGCAGAACAGATAAATCCATGACCTCAATTAAGGAGGCAGGAGCAACTTACAATTTTAAAAGGTGACAATCAGATGGATGGCTTCTAAATCTAATATTCACTCAGCAGACAGAGTGAATGAGATATCGTTTCTGATAAGCGACCAAGTACATGGATATGTGAGTATGTATATATATAAAGAAGTCAAGCATCAACCACGAAAAAGGAAAAGTGAAAAATAAAAACACAAGTATAGACTTTTTATAAATAAGCAAAGTTTCATTGATGAAAACCAGCATTGAGAAAATGCTGGTGCAAATTACAGCCAAGGTTTTACATGAATTGCAGTTTTATGAAATCAAGTATGGCTTCAATTTCATTTACAATTTCCATATTGCACCAAAAGCTACCCAAAAGTATGCACCTATACATTTTTAAATTTTGCCTTCAAATATTCTAAGATTCCTTCCCCTTCACAAAAAAAAAGTAGTTAATTGCTTGTGCAATTCATACAACTAACTGGGAAACAATGCACCCTCCAAAATACAATGCATACATGGATGTGCTGGTTTTCTTAATTTTTTTTAACCAATATATCACCTAGAAACTGTAGTATGGGGTCAGACCGACTTTTTTGTATGGGGCAGAGTGTTGGCCAAACAAGAACTCTCATGTTCAGAAAATGCAAGTTGTGGAAATGAGGATGTTGAGATGAATGTGTGGTGATTAGAAACTAGGATATACCAGACAAGGTGGGAGTGGACTCTGTGATGGACAATATGAGGGAAGCAAGACTGAGATGGTATGGACATGTGAAGAGGAGATGCGCAGATACCCTAGTGAGGAGGTGCGAGAGGTTGGATATAGTAGAAACAAAGAGAGGTAGAAATAGATCAAAAAAGTATTGGGCAGAGTGATTAGACAAGACATGGCGCAACTCCAGAATACCAAGGACATGACCTTAGATAAGAGGGCGGGGAGGTCGCGTATTAGGGTAGAAGGTTAGTAGGTATGGAGTGTTGACTTAATTTTCGAGGGGTTTAGCCGTATTCTTATAGTGTATTGCTTTTAATTCCACCATCACTTGTTGTTGATTGTGTTTAGGTTATCGCATTATTTTGTGGTTGTTATTGTTTCCTTATAGTTGTTTTGTTTCTCCACTATTGTTTTCCCTTTTTCATACCTATTTTGATATGTTGTACTCCAGCCGAGAATCCTCCGAAACAGCCTCTTTACCTCCACGAGGTATGAATATAATCTGCATACACTCTACCTTCCCCCGACCCCACTTATGGGATTTCACTAGGTATGTTGTTGTTGTGTTACCTAGAAACTGTAAAGATCCCACTGCATAACAGGCCAAAGAGCACTCCTCTAAGCAATCCAGTTAGTGGAAGACCAACATTTGTATAAAATCAAATCAACAAAGCATAGGAAAATATATTATGTAGTCCAAAAAGGTTTTGTACTCTCTTGGACAAAAGATTATATTATAATCTTACAAGTATCTTGATACAATTTGGATTTTGCATTCTCTAGTCTTCTTCTCATGTAATCGTGGATCACCATATGTATATTTATATCTCTTTGATGTTTTCCTTTTATATATTTTTTTAATTTACAGATCAAAAGGGAAAAGAGAAAAAATGATACAACTTGAGTTTCGCACCAAAAGCAATAATCTAACATGTCAATCTCTTAAAAAGGCACCACCACGCTGACAGATAATGAACACTATTTCACAAAGATTGAGAGGTCCAAAACTATTGACTAGCTAAATTTGACAACATAACTATATCTATCAGACTCCAAAAAGCATCATGTAATCTTTACTGTCAGTTTCAGAAACATTGCAAATTATACTATCAAGAACAGCAGGTATCAAAACACAAACAGAATTGGCCGCACCACTATTCAACAAGGAAGAAAAAGAAACTTCAGATAACACAAGCTGCAAGAAGGGAAAGAATACGCACCAGAAATGACAGGGGTATTTTCTTTACCAATGTGCCTGCGACTGCGAGACAGGCGGATGTGCTTTTGAGTATTAGAGTCAGCGAGGCCATCATACTCCTTTTGCACGGTATCACCAAGCCCACAGTACACCTCAACCCACATTTTCCTCTGTTGTTCCATTCCAACAAACCTCAAATTTTCCAACTCCTTTCTACAATAAACCCTCTTCTCTTCTCCTCCATTTATTTTACAGCCATTCACATTTTTTTCTTTGGCTTCTTCCATATTCCTAACTTTTGCTTTTATCGCAACCATTTGATTTGCATTCTTTTTCTTCCTATTTCTTCCTGATTTTCCATCAAAACCCTTGATATTTTTATCAATTGAGCAACTTTTTCCAACTTGAGAAATATCAATCATTGCTGTATCATCAATTACTTCAATCTTGAGTGAACACCTCACAGACCCATCATCTTTCTTCTCTTCCATATTAAAGCTGCTTTTTGCTTCATCATTTTTCTTGATGGATGATTCATCAGCCACAAAATGGGTACTGAATTCTTGAGTTTCAGAGGCACACACATTGAACTTCTTAGAATTTTCAGAGATGCTTATCTCATCTTTCATCCTCTCAGTGAATGTTTGAACTTTGGTGTTGGAGAACTCAGAAGAAGCATGAGAATCGAAACCGTCTGCCATGATGGTAATTTGGAGTTAGGGGTTTTGGGGTTATGCTATTTGGAGTTGGGGGTTATATAGAAACTTATAATGGGTCTCCTCATAATTACAAAGACTATTTGAGAGATAAAAATAGGTTGATTTTAATCTAAATATTCATAAAAGGAAAATATTATAATAATCATATAGGGTGTGCTTTTTTCATCAACTTATTTTTTGACTTTCCTACATAAAGTTAGTAAAACAAATCTCAAAACTCTCTTTCAACCTCATCTCCCAACCCTAACCTCAACAAAGGACCATATTGTCGCCCTCAACCCGACATTCGACTCCCAATCCTAACACCCCCGACCCAATATCCAAACTTTGACCCCAACCTGGGATCCAACTGTGATGCATGATCCGACCATAAATTTAGACTAGACTTCTAACCCTAACACGGAATCTAAATCCGAATAGCTATTGACCTCAATCTAGGACCTGACTTTGAATTCAACTCCCAACCTCTACTTATAATCATAAACTGATCACTAACTGAGATCCTTTTTCGTAGTTGAGAAGGGAGAAGGAGTCTAAATCAATGGACATTAATGAACCATCATTGATGGACGTTGCACATGACACAACTTTCTATCTTGATTCGATATTCGAATCTCGACCACAATCTCTGGATGTGACTCCATATTAACTCAACTATGAATTAAAAAAATATCTTTATCTTTAGCAAGAGGAGAATTATAAACAAAGAAGAAGGGTGGATTGAAGTTGGTAATTAAATTGATAAGATGGCATGTTTTAAAATGAATTAAAATTTATTTTTATTTTTAAAAATATTTTGGGCCTAATCCATAAAAATATGTGTTGAACAATTTATTTTAGGCTTATTTTAACAAGCTCTGAATGTATAAAGGTATATAACATATTGACACTTAATATTATTTTATGGTATCTTATCCAATCAGTTAGATAAGTTATCTTGTAGTAATGCCCATCTTCTAAAATAATCAAAGTTATTGGCAACTAATATTATTATTGTCTGTAAGTCATTAATTCATCAATTACCTTTACTGTTTAGAGAAATTTATAGATGACAAATTCAGTTATAATTTTATTCTGAGACATACATTTAAGTAATTTTTGTTGATAAACTTATTACACAATAGTAATGTAAAAAATTCAATGTTTACCCTATTGCAATGGGGAAATTCAATGAGCGAGGCCAAACTAAGCAAAGCACATTGCGAAATATGTCGTAGACTTAAAAATCAAAATATAGAGTAATTGAGTAGATGTTTGCACTTTGGAATATTGACTGTCAAGAAGAAGGCTAAATTGGAATATTATCATTGATAGATAAAACGCAAAGGAATTACACTACTTTTTGAAATCAGACAGTCAATAAATTCCTTATCTTATAAAGAAAGAACTTCTCCAACTCTCTGCTGCAGTCAGAATCATCGGATTGTGTTCTAGAAGCAAAGCTAACAAACAAATCATCAATCTCCTTTCACTTGAGAAAAATGAATAGAATTCGAAGAAACAGAAGAGTGGAGACTGAGGCTATTTGTTAAACATTGTTTATCGGGTCCAAAAATTAAGATGCACACGCAAAATCAACCTGTTCGACTAATCAAGGTCAACTTGTCTCAGTACTCTATTAGAAGAACAAGTACAAGTGCTAATGATTATTTGTTCTCAAAACATCATCTACAACAGTTTCACTAACCATAAAATGCGTCTCCAAGTTTAGAGATACTAAACTTGACTCCAGTTTATGCTAAGCCAATCATTGTAAAGATAAAAGGAACAGGCTTCAATCCAAAACTTATTACAATGATTAACGGGAAGAATATATCCAACTGTATAGACACATCAATATACAAGAAAGTGCACTGGAATCTTATTTACTATTGTCATCTCCACCAAACTGAGTAGAATTACCATTCCAGAATGTGTTTCTATCACCAAACTGATTTTCATCTTCATCATGTTTCAGAGTGTGGATGTTGCTCCCAAAGCTAGATGACGCTGGCTTTCTACCTCTGTTATTAGTTGTGGAAGTTACGGGGGTTTGGAATTGCTTACTTACCAAGGTCTGATTATTTTGAGGCGTGGAGTTTGGACCTACATGTCAGAGGCAATAAATTGAGAACACAGTACCAAATTATCCAGATAAGCAAAAACAAATTAACATGACACAGAGTGGCAGTCAACACATGAATGTATCAGCATCCTATCCAATGACGAACCCAAAATTTACAAGGGGTTCAAAAAAAATAGAATGATATAACTAAGATTTGAACATGCGACCTAAAGCACTTTTTGAACCTCTTTGCCACTTCACGGGGATTCAACAATTCATGTTTAGCCAAAAAGTGCTTTAGGTCACATATTCAAATCTTAGGTCATGGGGTAATCTCCCTTATGTCACGGGGATTCAACAATTCATGTATAGCCATAAAAAACTGTTTTCCCTTTATGTACCCTGTATAATTTTTCAATGACAGGGGGTTCAATTTCCTCCTACCTAGTTATTCCCCTGATCTCATCCATTTATAAATACAACATTTTTATTACACCTGATAGTGGATCTCGAAAAGCTCAGTTACAAACTCATTATTTTATTTAATCTGTAAAAGCTCGTGTAAAGTACAATATTAGCACATGGAGAAGCAATTACACCATTATTTTATTTAATCTGTAAAAGCTCGTGTAAAGTACAATATTAGCACATGGAGAAGCAATTACACCTGACAGAGTCAAAAGTCAGGCACAAAATTGGGAAAAAGGTGTTTTCAAATAATACTAGAGAAAATGAAAAGAACTTCTAGTGCTTTTTATTCACTTTGCATAATCTTGTCCTTAGATTAATTTAAATGGAGAAAAATAGTCAGCAATGATTCATATAGCCAACCCCTACATGTTTGGAACCGACGCTGTTGTATTAGCAAAACATGATGGTGTAGAGTGTCTGTTAATGCAAGTCTTATAAAAAACTTCAAGCAACTCAAAAGCTGAACTAAGAAAGTGCAAGTAATGCAATCTGTTGAACGTATCCTTAATTTCTAATTCTCTAGCAGTGAAGCTGTCACAGAGGTCAAGAAGAAAGGAAAGGAAACTACCATATTGCCATATGCTATCTCGAGAATCCTCAGCAGTGTTTGATGTGTTAGAACTTCCACCAAGGTAAGATAAAGGATTTACATACGAAAAGAGTTTTCTGATCGTAGCAAAATATCCTGCATCGCCTCCAATTGCTGTATGGTTACTCTCAGCCGGATTGTTTTGACCATGCAATGATGTAACATCCACTTCGTTACGAAGAACGATTATCAGTGCTTGCCTATTGTGTAAACCCAAATCTGACAATGTTCTATCTAGATCTGTTGACACATTTCAAGGGAAAAAAACATTTATAAGGTATATTAGTAATTTAATTGCTCCCTAAAGTATGAGGTAAGAAGTAAATGTCCTTAATAGCAGCAAGCACCAAAAAAAACAACGTTTGATAGCGGTACATGGATCATAAGCTGGAACTGAACAAAACCATATAAAGGTTCTAGAGAAGATCCTAAGCAAGCATGTGAAATATATCAGTTCAAACTAGTTGTTACTGATATATACTTTTTTGATGAAAAAGGTAATAGATTTCATTAAAGAGTACCAAGAAGGTACAAGAAAGAGTACAAACTAGAAAATTTCCTTCTACATATTGAAGGAATGCAAAAGATCTAATATAAGAGTTCATATGCGATGCAAATAGGGGTGACAAAATCAAACCCAACCCGTCCAACCTGCCCAACCCGCTTAAAAACCCGCCCATTCATTATCTCAACCCATTAAAAATTGCGTTGATATATAACCTGAATTGGCTCCAGTGTTAACAAAGGTGAAAAGAGCAAAAGAGATCTAAGGTTTGTGGGCGCAAATAAAGCATGAGCTTTAATGAAAAAAGGCGCAAAGGGAGAAAAAAAATACAAATATATATGTTTAGTCCAAGACAAATAATTATAAACATGAATGACAAATATATGACCAAAGAAATTGAAAGTTTTTATGATAAAATGAAATATCAATTGTTTAGTGTCACTTTGAAGAGGCTCATTGGCAAGGAAATTTTTGTCTTAGAACCTTGATGACGACACTGAAGCGCACATAAAGCGAGGCGAAGCGCTCAACACATTTTGAGCCTCGCTTCAAGGCTTAAGCGCGCCTTTGACTACACTGATTGGCTCATGAGAAATCTTGTCATAATATTTATAAAGAACTATTTTTTCAATTTGATATGTTATATATAGCCATAATAAAGAAAAAAAAATATTACGTACTAAAATAGTTTAAAAGAACAAATAAAACAATTAAGTTCAGTAAAAATTGAGTTGGGTTGGGTCTTGACCCGGTATATAACCCAATACCTAACCCGTTTTGACCCAAGCAAATTTGATTTGGTTTGGGTTGGATCTTAACCCGATTGTTGTCTTAACCCATTATGACCCACTCAAATTTGACCCAACCCGCCCAATTGCCACCCCTAGATGCAATATTCTTCCTACACCATAAATATAGACTTTTCAAACACCTAGAATTAATATGAAGTATGTTTTCCTTCCTAGTGTTAAAACATCTATTATTCCTCTATGTTTCAAACTCGATCAAGACTTCATTCCAGACTAGTTGAGACAGGCTATAACAATTTGAACTCACACTATTGGATAAAATCATCTCATGTGTGCTAAAGCAATTACAGGTGGCAAATGAGACTATTTGTAGCCAAACAACAAACTATTCGGACAAAACCACATCTTCTGACACATTTCCTAACAGCTTTAAACCAACATTTAGAAATCCTTAAGAATGTGTGTTAACCAAAGGAAAAAGTCTCTGCCACATATAAAAGTGGAACATTGATGTACCAGGCTGCCAGCAACTCAGACTGTCAAGTTGCCAACACGCACTCCCTTGACTTGAGGCAGCAATGGAGGATGTATTGCCACCCAAAACAATGACAAAAAGGATAAGGATCGTAATAAGAAAGACAATATGGTGGGA